CCTGCTGGGATGAGCATGGCCAAACCACAGTTGTCACCACAAGGCCCTGCACGCAGGTGTGTGACCATCGTGTGACCCTGCATGCTTTGAGGTAGTGGGAGCACGAATGGTGGTAATGATTACTTTCCCCGCTCCCCTTTTCTTCAAAACATAATCCTATTTAGGTAGCAGTTCTGATGGTGTGGGTCCTCGTGCTATCCAACCCCCACTGCTCAACACAGATGCATACGGAAATCTTGCCAAATGAGATGCGATGACATGGTGATGCAATCAAGCAGGGCAAGTGCCCTTTGAAATAGCCAGTAGCCCTGTGTGGGTCACTTAACAGCTTCACGAAATTCCACAGTGCAGAGGCACCTCTGAAGTGTTTCTCTTGTAGAACTTGTCTGATCACATCCAGACTACTTGTATTCTTTCAGTTTTTTTCATTCTCACTTCCCTGAGGAAGGCAAATGCCGTTAGCCTCATTGGACAGAACTGAGCTGCTAAGAAGAGGAGGAGGATGTGTCTACACAATAGAGAGTGGGGCCAAGACTAAATTGAACCATTTAGGACACCAATTTTGCCTCATATTTTCCATCTTCCTTTCTGGCTTTACTTTGCCTATCACCTGCCCTAATACCCTGTGGCCATGACATTCATGCTGCCAAAGACATGAAACTCCTCTAAGGAAGTCCACTACTTGGACACTGGTTCATGTTTGGGGCCAGACAGAGCATGACCAAGCTGACAAATCAGCCTCATGGGTTTTCAGGCTTCTCAAGCTCAGGAAATCCTGTAAAGCCCATTTCTTGCACATGTTATGACAGGTTAGTCTGATCCTGAGGTTGACTCCAGATCCACAGCCTGCTGAGGTACAATCTCAGAGGTATCTATGTCACATGGGCATCTCTGGCAAAATTCTCAGTTGCCCAAAGCAGCATCATAACCACCAAACAACCCACACTACTCATGGCCACTGGGAAAGCCAGGCAGGCTTTGCTGAATAATAGACATTAAGCCCTAGAGCCACCATGTCACAAAATCCTTGTAACTAAATATTGTTATTTGTCCCACTCAGAGCTCAGTTAGTCCACAGCATTTACGATGCTATTGATTGCTGTGGGCACGGCCAAGCATCTGTTCTATTTATCACTATCATGCTTTATTGCTAGTACTAGACTAAGATCACTATTTATTTGTACTCCAGCAGGGACAAAGGACCCCAGAAACCCATTGTGTTAGGCACTGTATGAGCAAAGCAAAAAGAGATTCCCTGCCATGTGCAATTTACAGGCTGACTCTATGATGACACATCAAGGAATGGGTAAGAACAGCAGGAACTGATGACAAAAGCTGGTTGTCTTGGTCACAGAGGTGAGTCAAAGCCACAACCTCACTCTCAGCACCTGGCATTCCAAAATTAAGGTTGACGCTGAACACGGAGTCCAGCCCCTGGAATTAAAGTGGTTTCTTAGCCTATAGGTCTGGATGCAGAGGATGGGAACACAGATTTCACACAAAAAACACAGATTCAAGGAACATTGCTTAATTGGACGTAAACTTGGGGAGCATTTTGTGACCATGCCTGCAATCTCTAGCTGGAGATAAACCATCCAGAGAGAGTCAAGGCAGCTTCCGTGATAATGTTCCTCTTCCTCTAATGAGCATTTTTCTTCAAGATTAGAGGAATAACTCAGCTTTGGTGACATATCACCACCATTACATGACTCAGAGCCCCATAATTCCCTGCTGTCAGAACAATCTTTAGCTTCCCCTAAATCTAGATCCAGCCACTGCTGGCACATCTTCTTAGCTTGGTCTTAAAGAGACAGGGGACAAATTCATCAAAGGAAAATCATTGAGAGAAATCACAGAAACTACATCTGGCTCAGAGACCCCTGAGCTAAAATTGGTCAACTGCAGGTGGACATGGGGAGAAAGTACCATAAACATTTGTGTTTCCAATCTTCCTCGGGAATCCACTGTCTAGGGATCATCCACAGGGCTAGGCTGAGCTTTGGTTGGACACATTAAAGCCATCCCTACGTTTACTTTTTAGGACTATAAATCATGGTCAGTCTACAAAGAGCATTACTTACCAACAACAGCGTGATGTACATAAACAAGATTGCAGACACAATCAGGAGAACAAGAGACCAGAGAAACCAGAAGCCCAGGTTCCCATAGTTATACCTAAAAAGCAATGAAATATTACAATAGTGAACGGCAGCCCTGTTCCTTGAAATTTTGACATTTTCAAAGCAATAAAGCAAAGAGGGAGAGAGGAATAACCTATCCTGCAACATGCAAAAGTAGTTAAGAGCCTCCTTTCCCAAATCCGTGATTGCATTAGCCACCAACCCAGTACCCCAATGTGCTGGGGAGGTAAAATACAGGACCAAATTGGTGGTCTTCCTCCAAAGACCTCTTAGTCCGACTGTAAGACACTGCACCTTGCTGCAGACAAGGCAGCCTGGGAAAACAGCAAGATGATGTGACTCAGGCCAACAGCCCACCTTGTCTGCCTGCACCACGGCAAAAAGGGAATTTGGGTCAGATTTTGAAGGAGAAAACACCAGAAATCTGGAGGAGCTGCAGAGGGATTGTCCAAGAAGACAGAGAGGGGGAGCTTTACTTTTTGCCCAAAGGCTCAATAAGGATGAATAATATAGTTAGACCTTTTCTCCCCATAATATTTGAGCTGTTTTAGTTCCATTTTAGGGGCCAAATTTGCATAACTGTTACCTACGTATTGCAGAAGGGAAGGATTTGCATAAATCTCTGCCAGTTATTTCAGTTCTCTTTGCAGTGTAATAGCTGGTGCAATGCTTCTGATACCAGCCACTGAATTTCTTCAGAGGGAACAGAGGGGGGAAAAGACTCAGAGAAGCAAAGGGAAGAGCTATTTAGTCCCCTTCACTGACACTTTATGTGATGATTATTCTCCCCTTTCTCCTAAATTCACACTTACACCTAAAAATTGTAGCCAAGCACAGGGCAGAGCCTCAGCACCTCTGAAGTCACTGGACATCCAATTCGGATGCTGTAACCAAGAGTTTAAGGAGCCAAACATTTGATTCATGGTTAAAGTGCCCCGCTGTGTCATAGATGCTGGAGAGGGTGCTTATCTCTTCCCAGCTACCCTGGGAAACCGCCTGAGGAATGGAAGAGGGGAAAAAGGTGGTACTTACCAGTCAAAGTTATTGTAGTCATTTTTTGCTTCACCCCACATGTACAGAAAGACCAGAGAAAAGCAGAAAGCTCCAACAAGCAATGGGAAAAACACGCATTCCCGCTGCAGAGGGAGAGGAAGGACAAGTAGTCAAAGCCTTACCTACCCCAAAGCAATCACAGCCAATGGTAGATATGTTTAGGCTGACCATAAAACATGGGATTTGGTGGTGGACCTCCAGAAGCAGAGGTGGAGATGACTTTCCATCCTGTCCTCTATGACCAGGGGGATGGCTTCAAAAGTGTACTCTGCAGTATTTACTTTCAGGGAAAATAAATCTCGCGACTTCGCAAACAAACAGGATTTTAATCACCTTGGATGAGAGGGAACTGCACTAGGCAGCAGCCCTCTTTACAATTTTTACTGCACACCCAGCCCAAATTCTCCTTCTTTAATTTGATCCTATGGCTTTGAGATGTTTCACTGGCCTGGAAGGATCCGTGAAAGGTCCTTTCCTGCCCTCACACACTTGTTAGCTGCATGGTGGCACAGACAAACTGAGCTTGTCACAGAAACACAGCAATACTTCAAGCACTTAGAGCCAAAATCTAACAATCCGACAGAGCTCAGTGGGCCCCAGATGATGCTGGGTAAGGGTGCCTTTGGACCATGACATCGACCACTTGTCAACTTGGCCTGACCCGTCCCTACAGAGAAATCAATATCTATGCTGATTTTGGGCTAATTTACCGTCTTGCAGCAGCATTTCCCAGGCTCAGTCCTTCTGCGCTGGTACCGCTTCCACCGGCAGCTGTAGAAACCAGCCAGGCAGGAGATGAAGGGCTGATGCTCATATCTCTGCAGCAAGCGTCGACGTACCACCTTCAGCTTCCCAAACTTGATCCTCTTGAGGCTGGTGGAACTCGCCTCCATCTGAGGGGCTTTATCTCATCTTCCTCCTGAAACGAGACCACAGGTTTTGTGGGGAGACCATGACCCTCCTTTCCTTTTGGGTAAGCTTCTCGCATCAGAAAAAAGAGAGGAAATTTTCTCAAGAGGATGCTGCAACCAGCAGGGAAGGGTGCTGAGAACAGCTCACCTAATTTTATATACCTAACCGAGATGTCTAACAGGAAAGCGTGGTCATTGCAAGTCCCCTCAGCAGTCTGTAGTGCTCCTGGTTGTGACTTAGGTGCTCTGAATCACCTCTGGAGGAACCTCTGCCTCCTTGTGACTATATAGGGAGCTCTGGGAAATGAAATGAACAGGTTGCCCAGGGAAGCTGTGGATGCCCCCTCCCTGGCAGTGTCCTAGGCCAGGTTGGATGGGGCTTTGAGCAGCCTGGGCTGGTGGGAGGTGTCCCTGCCCATGGCAGGGGTTGGACTGGATCAGCTTTAAGGTCCCTTCCAACCCAAACAATTCTGTGATTCTATGATTCTATGAAATCGCTCACTTTAACACTCCATGCAGATTCCCAAATTATGTCAGATGAACCTGAGCCTAGGCTTAGCCATGGGAATTAATTCAGCATCACTGTGACCTGCCTGCAATGTACTGTCAGTTTAACTGGCTCATGTAGGAAAGGGACTAAACATCTCCAGGTACACGGTTTTTTAATCCGGGCAAAACTGCAGCATGGCAGAGACAGATCCCTTAAGAAAAAAAATATTTTCTGACTGAAATAGCTTTACTTGGCACAGTTTTTCAAGGGTAGAAAGAGAAGCTGTAAAGATTCACAAACGGGAGGTCTGTTCATAATGAAGATTTTAAACAAAGGACTTGGTGGTAGACTGCAACCAATGTAGTTAACAGCGAAGTAAATAGCACAAGGGATTGTGCCAGCAAATAGTTCACCTCTCAGAGCACTGTCAAGACTGAAATGAAAGATTTAGAAAAAGAAGTCTTGTGTTGGCATACAAAGAAGAGCCATCATCCAGCACTTCTTTAGAATACAGAGATAGCCAGAGATGCTTTTCTGTTGCATTAAAAAGTGCCACATCCAAATCCAGGCATGTCTGCTGCAGATTCCCAGCTCAGAACTCCCATTTCCCTGCTTTATCGGATGTAATAACAGTCATTTAAGAACAAATGGTCTTAAAAATAAAACAGAGAGACATAAGACACAAGTTAAAACTGAGATGACGCATCCCTGGTACCCTTTCCAAACATCCCAGTCTATTGGCAGCTGGGGTGCAAGGAGAGAGGATGAAAATGAAACCAAAGGGGTTTTAACTTGGACTACCACTGAGCAGTGCCCAAGCATGTCATGCACTGAATGCCTCCCTGAGACAGACGTGTCTGCCCACAGGCAATCACACACTCTTGGATACGGTGGGGTCAAGCTATCCCAAGAAGCTCAGCAGCATCGGATCCTGGCACCAACAGGTCACTCTGTAGTGAAAAATTGATGCCACTCTCATGTGACACGATGGTGATCCTGCTCTTGAACTACACAGAGCTGTCTTCATCAGCCGTCCTCAAGTACACCTGGCATAAACCCAGCAATTACCAAGGTACCCCAGCCACATCTTTTGAATATATCTGAACCTCCAGAGCTCTTACCAGAAGAGTGTCATGTGCCATGGGGCTGCAGTATTTGTTACCTCCTGCAAGGATCCCTAAACCGTGAGTTCCCCTGTCACCAAAACACAACATCCGTTCCTGCCCAGCCCTTCTCCTTTAGCAACAGGGATTCAGGACACTGGACCAAAACCATTAGTTTTGCTGTCAGAGAGTCCACGAGGTTTGTTACTCACATTCCTGGTGTGGGCACAAGGCTCACACATCAGTATTTACCTAAGAGCACACAGGATTTGGCAGGAAAACAGATTGTAGAGACCTTGAAAAGTCTGGCTGGCTACAGCAGCACGTCAGGTGTTAAATCTAGGTGTTAGTCTACTCCTCATAAAAATTGCCTATGACGGAGATCCTACCAGCTCCAAAGACAGGTCAATTCAGTCCAAACTAGCTTTAACATTGGAAGTTTTTTCCCAATGTCTAGTCTCCTGTGGTATAGTTTAAGCACATTAATTCATGTCCTGTTCATGGTAGATATAGAGAATCACTCAAGCTTTTCCTCTGTTAGGGATTTCATGTATTTACATTTGGATGTCTTCCCCTAAGTCTTCTCTAGCCTGAACAACCCCAGCTTTTACAGCCTTTCCTAGGTTCCTGTTTTCTCTTCCTCAGAGCATCCTTGCATGGAGTCCACACTCACCTGCTTTTTGGGATTTTCACAGGTATCACAGAATCACAGACTATTAGGAGTTGGAAGGGCCCTCGAAAGATCATCCAGTCCAACACCCCTGCCAGAGCAGGATCACCCAGACCAGGTCACACAGGAACACGTCCAGGCGGGTTTTGAATGTCTCCAGAGAAGGAGACTCCACAACCTCTCTGGGCAGCCTGGGCCAGTGCTCTGTCACCCTTGCAGTAAAAAAGTTTTTCCTTGCATTTCCTATGGGTTCTGGCAATGGCAGCCATAACAGGATGTGGTGAACAACCCACGGCCTCTCCAGGGCAGACCTGTTCACCCACACCACAAGCTATTTGATACTTGCAGCATCCAGTTTCTCTCATGCATCAAACACATCATCTGGCCTAGGTTTTCTGAATGCTTAAATAATTCACCCTGGACTCATCCCCTGTGGCAAAGGAAAAGTGTTTTCAGCTTTATACATCAGAGCATTTATCACTATAATTAAGAATTTAATGAACTCCTACCTTAGTCTTTCCACACAAGTCATCTCCCCAAGCCTAGGAGTTGTTGGGGAAGGGAGGCTGGGGAAGGAGAGACAGAAGAACACAGCCTCCTTTCCACAACCACCTCCACCAACCCCTGGCCCTCCCAAAAACATCAGGCTGGCAAAAGAAGTGCAAAAAACCTTCATATCTGGCATCCCCTCAATCCCCATTGACCCTATTGTCCAAAATGTTTAGCAGGACCACTATGGTATCTGATCCTAACAGAAAAAATATCCCAGCATCTGTTCACAGCAACTACTTAAGGGGCAAACACCACCACGACACAGGGTAAAGGCAAAGGCTAAAAGACAGTAGGTCTGCATCTGGATTTAGAGAAAGTCAGTCATTGCCAGGACACAGCAAGAGACCTCACAGTGCTCGCATCTAGATTTGAAGCATGGCGCTCCTAAAATTTAGAGGTAGTCTGCAATCCTTGCCCATCTCTGCCAGAGGAGGGAAAATGCAAACCTGAATCTATCCACTGGGACAGCCATGAGAGCAAAAAGCAAGCAGGAAAACATGCATCAGTAGGATAGCAAAGTTTAGGACTCCTTAACAAGTGAGCCGTGAAAGCAGTAACATCTGTTTTTCAGCTCCATAAACCCAAGAGATCTCAGGTCCTTCTCTTGCAAACAGAGACTTTGCTCACAGATAAGAGCCTCCGTAATCACAGGCAGTTGAGCAGGGCTGCTCATTTCCCACTGCTTGTCAGGGAGTGAGGAAAAGCATGAGGAATAGCCCTGGGGGATGATGGAGGAAGGAGCAGGGGAGAAAAAGCAGGAAATAAATTCAGCTGCATAGGCTGAACGCAGAGGCACAGCAAGCTGAGCTTGCTTGAGAGACCAATGTACAAGTGAAGAGTGTTCTCGTCTGTCTTGGTGCTGTAGAGGTAGGGCAGACCTCTTTGGAGGGGTAAACAGGCACAGCCATCAAATTTGGCGTTACCCTGTAGCTTTTTCCTTGGGTCTTTTAAGTCTTTGTTTTTTTGATTTCTCCTGCATCTACCCAGCTTTCTCCAACACAATATCCTACAATGTGGGCAGGGTGAATGCAGGGCTCTTTTCAGATATTACGAACACACTTCCCAGCCAGCTGAGAGAAGATAACTGAAAAAAAAAAGTTATGTGGGTGCTGGCAGCTACCATGAAGATGGTAATTTCTCAGCACCTGAGCATGGCCAGCTTGCCCTGAGCATCATGATGGCATAGGAAGACAGGACTGATGCCTGCTTTGCTCATACCACCATTTCAAAGGGATGTGGAAAGAAAGTGAACTCCATGCCTTGAGGTAAGAGGTGCCTTGAGCCTGAGCTGATCCTCTCCAGCACCTGCAGCTCCCTTGAATGGCAACTTCTGGTACCATCCAACGCCTCTTTGGGAAATAATTTCCTGCCTTTCCACCTTCCACAGCATCACACCAACAGATAAAGAACTAAAATCAACCTCCTGGCAAGCTGCTAGTTGATCACCATCACCGTGAGCTGCACACAGACCTTGTCACCAGTCAGAAAACCTTAGAAAAGAGCATCCCTTAAACTTGCAATTCTGCCCAAGGCTCTGGATCACAGCTTAGGATCCCTTTTATTTCACTATCATCTGCCTTCAGTTTCTTTTCAGGGGATTAATGAGGTTTAACACAGGTAAGGAAAATGTATCAAATAACATAAAGCTAGTGATAACCTTGCAATGAAAGATTATATATATTCTATATCCTTTCCTTTCCCTGGCAGTCGATAATTATAATTTATCATTAAGACTTTCTTTATAAGCCCTAATTATACCTTACTTCTGCGTGGGATCCCAGGGCGTATATGTGCAGCCTGGGACAAATGTATGCAAAGTACATCTCATTGATTAACTGTTGGCTTTCAGGTGAAGATCACAGCCATCAGCACAAGGAAACAATAAGGTTTAACATGGAAAACAACAAACAGATGTGGAAGTAGAAGGTGTTAACAAGGAATAACTGGGGCAATATTTCTCCATTTCATTTGTTGTAGTACACCTCCATCACGTAATGGTTGTGGTTTTCAAATTGATTGAGAAGTTTCCACCAACAGTAACGCCCTGTATTCTGTAATATGTCACCACACTTTGAAAAGACACAAATAATCAAACCATTTCAGCAAAATTAAGCTACAAATACAGCCAAAATCCTGCTTCTATTAGGATTTGTGCTACAGTCTAAAGGTCAGACACCCAGCAGGGGCTGTGCT